TGCATGGAATTTGGGCACGTATGTACTGTGTACAAGTGATTTCTCATTTCGCATGCGCGGGGGGCCGTGGCTAGTAGCAGCTTACTTCGGTATGCACGAAAATAGCCGGTGGAATTCACGTGGTGCCGCAAGCTCGGCGGGGTGAATATGTGGAACTGCATGTCTGTAGATAAGGGGAGCGGTAGTCTCTCCCCTGCATGATGGTTGTTCCCACCTATACCTCACCCCTCCAGTGAATCTCTATTTCCAGCCATCAACCTGAGTTGACTCACACTCAGGTGACCGCTGGCGGATAAGCACACAGGCACTAACCCATTGACCTGGAATCACGGAAGCAGGCGACTTCACCGCTCGCCGAGGCCGGGACACGGAATTCCTTGGTCTCGGCAGAATCCCCGGGTCGCCTGGTCGAATCTCGCGGGCGAGACTCGAAAGGCGGAGGGGGGTAGTGTAACAAATTTTGGTCTGCCGCAGCGTCACATTCCTTTGTTCTACCCCCTGCAGTCTGCCCAGCGTCCTTGTGTGATGTGGGCTTCGATGTAGGCCGAATCCCCGCATGCTGTGACAATGTACACGTGCTTAACACGAGCTGGTACTGTGCCGTACTCATGACGCTGAAGCTGGAGTGCGTGTCACGTCTGAAGCTGGCGTGCTTGTCACGTCTGAAGCTGGCGTGCGTGTCACGTCTAGAGCCGGCGTGCGTGTCACGTCTGAGGCCGACGCGCATGTTACGTGTAAAGCTGACGTGCTTGACCACCTTTTCCTGACGCCGGATTGACGTGTTTGGAAGCCGTGCGCACGCTCCGAGGCGTATATATACTGCGCTCTATAGAGCATCGGCAGCTCAGTTCACCGCCAGGCTACCAGTGAGGCAGTCAGCCAGCTAGTCAGGGACGGGTCAGTCGGCGCGGAGCCGAGAGAATAGTTGCCGCGAAGCGGAAGCACACTACGCAAGGTACAGCGCTGCGACCACCACCGACGACCGCTGCACGGAATTAGTGTAGTGGCCCTAGGGGTAGCCGCTATATGAATTATGTGCGTGTGAATGCACAATTGTTTTTCGGGATCATTTCTTGCTCCCGGTGGCAAAGCGGGACTGTGTTGCGTGGCAGCAGGTGGCAAAACAATGAGACAAATAACCTCAACGCAAGATACTTAATTATATGGAACCGGTAGTTTTATTGCTAGTATACACACTACAGTTATACAGTACCGTATCTGGTAGTTACTCGACGCGTGATGCGTGCTCTGAATGCGTGACGTACTATTTGTTGTGACTATAATATTTTATGGCAGAAGGCCGGTGAACGGTTACGTGCAATAATATAGGTGCTTCGGTGCGAACGCGAACCCGACGTATCTATGCAGATTGTCGGGAGTGAGAATAAGACGTAACGGCACCGGCTGTCGGCGTTCTCCTTTCTCCTCTCTGCGTCGCGCCGTTTCTCGTTCCTTCTTCGTTCTTCTGTCGTCCGTCTGCCCTCTTCTTTCTTCTGTCCTCGGTCTTCTTTCTTCTATCTCCTGCCTTCTCTCTTCTATCTTTTGTCTTCTTTCTTCCTCCTTCTTGCTTCTGTCTCCTCTCCCTTCCTTCTTTCTTCTCTCTTCTTTCTTCCCCCTTCTGCTCTCTTCTTTCTTCTTTCTTTTATCTTCTCTCTTTCTTCTATCTCCTATCGTCTTTCTTCTTTCTACTATTTTATTCCTTCCTTCTTCTTTCTTTTTTCTTCTTCTTTCCTCTGTCCTCCTTCTTCTTCCTTTGCTCGACTATTTTATTTCTTCCTTCTTCTTTCGTCTATCTTCCTTCTTCTTCCTTCTCTCTTCTTTCTTTCGTCTTCTCTCTTCCTCCTTCTTTCTTCTTTCTTCTTTCTTCTTCTTCTTTCCTTCTATCTTCTTCCTTCTCTCTTCTTTCTTCCGTCTTCTCTCTTCCTCCTTCTTTCTTCTGTCTTCTTTCTTTCTTCTTCTTCCTTCTCTCTTCTTTCTTCCGTCTTCTCTCTTCCTCCTTCTTTCTTCTGTCTTCTTTCTTTCTTCTTCTTCCTTCTCTCTTCTTTTTTCCCTCTTTGTCTGCCTCCGATGCAGTTGTCCGTGTCAGTGTTGTTTATTGGTCGTGTGCTCTGTAATGAGCCGTGTCTAGTAATGGAGATTCGTTATGTACATGATCGATGTCTTTATTAATGCTCGTTGTCTTTACGATGTCGTGATATATTGATGGTCTCCGTGTCTGTTAATGCTCCGTGTCTTTATGCGGTCCGCCCGTTACGCTATCCGAACCTGTCTAAATGCTCCGTGTCTTTACTGCTCCGTGTCTTTAATGCTCCGGTTGTCTTAGTGTGCGTGTCTTTGGTGTCTGCTCGCGCGCGCGCCTGCCGGGTTCTTTGCTTTGCTATCGGCAATTCGGCGCTTTATATACCGGGCCGTGTGTTGCTACTGGCGGACGTGATACGAGTCCCCCCCTCCTATCTTCCTAAGCAGGCAGGCGGGGCGTGTTCCCCAGCTCGGCCAGCTTCGTACACGTGTATACCGGAATGTTATCTTTTGCCTCGACTGCTTGGCCATGTGTTTTTACTATTCGCTCTGTATTTGACTGTTTGCTAGCTGAAAGTAAGCAGTAATTTTCATTTGAATTCATTATTAATTATTGTTTATAGCTTATTTACTCATTATCTTTTTTCACCTGGTATTTTTTATGGCTCGATTTTTCCTTTATTTGATTTTTGTTGTATTCATTTTCTTAAGTGGAATTATGGTAAACGGAGCCGGGTGTCACCTGGTTTTCGATCAGGGTTTCAGTTATTTCCAAATATGGACGACGCCCTGTGTGTGTTGTGGTTTTAAATAAGAGTCTTCGGTACTGTAACCGAATCGTCTCACATTTAGCATTCTCCGTCACAGGATCGTCGGGTAATGACTGACGCCCTAGTCATGTATCTGTATTCTGTTATACTCGGCATTACTGCGCGAGGAAATATGTGCACAGTTTTATGTTCACCTTGTTTCTGCTTGACCAGAGGCGGATATGGAAAGCCGGGCCTATTCGCGCGGTGAATTTTCATCTTTTAAGTTGTGTTGCTTTGATTCTTGTGTGCACTTTACCATCCAGTGGTTCGAACGTGGGAGCGTCCGACCGCGTGACGGGGGAAAAACAGTTAATATAATTATATATATATATATATATATATATATATGTTTCCTTCCACTCTCTCTCTCTCTCTCTCTCTCTCTTTGTTACTCTATTCCTCTCCATCGCCGTTGCTTTATTTTCTCATTCGCTGTAGCTCACACGCAAGATATACATAAATATGCTGCTTAAAACCCGTAGCAAAAATGTTTACATAAATTATATTCAGTAGCGATTAAAACTTTCTAACGCAATAATCATCTGTCTTCACCTACAACTTATCATGCATTATTTTACATTGTATTGTCCACAGTTTGCATTTATATCTTATATGCATATGCAGGTTATCGGCATGGCAGCCGCAGGATACAGGAGTGGATACGGTGGTGGATACAGGGGTGGTTACGATGGTGGATACGGACTTGGATACGGACGCGGATACGGACTTAGAGACGGAGCGGAACACGGTCGATAAGGAGGCGGATATGGCGGATACGGAGGCGGATACGGCGGCTACGGTCGAGGAGGTTATGGCTACCGCGGCTAACGCGGCGCACAAAGATACCGACTGGCTGTTAGTGTATAGGCTCTTGAACGCTGAGCGCGATAATATTTTGATGTACAGTAATACACGAAATATTTCTGCTTAAATAAAAACGCTTTCCTCTAAGAATAATTCGCTTGTTTGCAAATGTTTTCAACTTTAGATGGCTGATGAACAAATGTCCGAAATGGCAACATGCAAAATTACTGACACCTAAAACCCCATACCACAAAGCTCACGAAAAATATATATGCGTATAAAATAATAATCGTTACCAGAGCCCTGACCATACGTTCTCATGGGAAAAATAACATAGGCAGCGTCGTCATCGCTTCCTCTCATCCAACTAGCGCCATCTACTGGCGTGGCACGCTAGATGTAAAATTATTCAGGTAGGATATCAAGTTAGGAGTAGCTCTCCCAAAATGTAAGAGTGTTAAAGCTACTCTCATCTGAAGTGTTCCGTGTCTGTCCACCATAATAATAATAACGATACGAGTCGCTGTGAGGAATCCAGCCACTGGGTGAATGCGTAGAGCCCTGACCATAACCTAACGTTCTCATGGGAGGAATAACATAGGCAGCGTCGTCGTCGCTTCCTCTCATCTAACCAGCGCCATCTACTGGCGTGGCGCGCTGACTTTAAGAGTCTTCAGGTGCTATATTACTGTAGGTATAGCTCTCCCCGAGACTGGGCTTGTACTGCGGTTGTAGGTAGGTTGTGTGAGGTTGGGTGCAGCTTCTTTCCCCCTGTCCCGACCCATACTGCTCCGGTACACTGTGGGATATGCCCGTTGTCAAAAACATTCATTCCAGCGTTATCGCGGTAATTTGTGGCGCTCTCGGTCGAAGAAGTAGGGACTCTGAGTCATTCTTCGTCTTCGCGCAGACGCCGACGATGACGATGATTAAGATGATCAAAACCAAAGCAGCGATGACCAGTTCGACAATGACAGCCGTATTCGATGTATTTGGTTGGGGAGCAACGACGACTACAGACATTGAATTAGCAAAGTTCACAACTCCTACAATGTTAGCGGCTAAGCATGCGTTGTTACCAGCATCTAGGAAACAAATCTGTTCCCTTTTGTAAACGCTGTTCACTTCTGCATGAACAAGCGATTTGCTGTTAAGCCATGAATAACTTGGCTGTGGGTTTCCGTCTGCGTTACACAGCAGCCACAGCGCACTGCCATGCTTGACAGTCATAACTCCTGCTTGCCTGTCACCGCTTACTCTAACTCCTCCAACCTAAATAGCATTGAGCCGAACATCGACTGACAGAGACTGATATGATTCGTGCATGTCAACATGACAGGCAAGTATTTTGTCGTGGTTATCAGCGGTAAACGTACGCGCCAGTTTGCTGTACGTTGTTATAGTTCCATCAACTTCACTGACATGTAAAGTATTAGCTCCGTCTATAAGTGTATCACCAAGCTTTCATGTTACTGTTCCTCCCGGGAAGTGCAAAGATCTTGGTATTACAGGCGGCGGGTCTTTCTGTTTCTAACTAATATAAACATGTACAGTTGTTCTCACGGAGAACGTTATGGAGGCGAATATTAACAAAACAAACAATTAGAAGCCGTCACTATATATTTATTTATTTATTTATTTATCTGATTTAATTTAAACAGTTAATTTATTATATTTTATTTATTTATATTAATAACATAACATTTAGTGAAAATTGATAGCCGCTGAGCTCTACAAGCACCTTACGTCAGTGCAATCCCAAATGTCATAATAATTATCATTGTAGTGGCCCTAAGCAGCGTAAACCGACTACGGCTACGACAGGCGCGTTAACACAGTTAACGCGTGCTCCTAGTATGTTTAGCACGCCGCTTGCCAAAACACACGCCAGGATTTCGTTCGCTGGTGCAATCGCTTTCACCTGCCTGATGGCAACCGTGGCTTGCCCGTACGATTGGATTGCATCATTTATTGCAACTCGTTTTCTTAAGTAAATCATTCTTCTCTTCGACAACTTTTAGCACTATTCATTCTATTCAAATCTCCTCATATATTTAGTTGACCACTTTGCTACATAACCGCGTGCATTATTATATTCTATTTATCGCCGTTATCGCTTTTCGCGTAAACACTACCTTGTTGTTTCCCCAACCATTAGTAGCTAGATAGTGATAGCTATAACATCGCCTCTTATTCTCCTGCCACTTTTAATGTGCTGTCTTAGCCCTGGATCAGAGTCGAACAGTCGAAAATAGCAATGCATGACACGTGTACTCACATATTCCTATCACCAATGTGTTTAATTATATTGCATATGCCAATAAAAAAACACACACACACATACACACACACGCGCACGCATCGCCACTCACACACACGCGCCGGCCGCTCACACATACATAATCACAGCACGCGCACAGAGAGACGTATACGCACGCACGGCGTACCCTAGGCCTATTCATTTATCAAACATACATGTGTACATTATAATATTTCGCTGTTGCTTACAATTTTTACAAAGCTATATCTGAAGAGCGCGGGCGCGCTTCCACTAAATAACACGTTTCTCAGCCATGAAATGTCAGCGCATAAATATGCCACTGCAGGAATATTTGCCTCATTCATTAATTCTCTCACGAAAAATCTGCTTGTTGTTTCTGTTCTCTATTGCTCCAGGGAATCACCTTCAAATGGCGACATATGCATTAACCTTGCCACACAATATAATTACTATAATTATCAATCACAATATAACGGTAGAAACCTTCGATATCAATATCATAAGTACTAGAGCCAATCGGAGATAGACAAACCTCCGCCAAACAGTCGTAACAGTTCCCCCATGTCATCCTGCTGCGTACACCCAATATATAGATTCGATGCGAATATTCAGAAATTTGAAAAAGCATCCAGATTTTTTTTAATGAATTTTTAATGCGTCCGAAGTCTTCCTCCCCCCCCACCAAAATCCTGAATTTAGGTCCGCATCCGGCATCACCACAAATCTCTACATCAACTGCTTCTTGGGCCCCAAGACCAACTTGTTCCAAAAAATTTCAGTCAAATCCGGCCGCGTAGAGATCCGCAGGCCTCCCCGACCTATACCAGTTCATACTTGCAGCGTCAGTTGTTTCGCCTGACGTTTCTTAATTTTTTTTTCTTTAGGCGACACTTACTATGGCGCATTACATGCTGCTTATCGTCGTCCGTGCGTACCCTCTTCTGGCCCTCAGTACTTGCCCGCTGCCTTAGCTCTCTTCGGCCATGCCAAATGGCGACCAACGTCGATAGGGCAATAAGGATAAATAAGCTGAATATGACGTAGGGATGATGCCGCGCCAATAATCCAGGCCTATCCGACGCCAATGACGCGCCACAGCACTTCATTCGAAACTAAAAACACGGCGGTTTTTCGAGCCGCGCACTCGTAGACGCCCCGTGTCGTCAAGCCTACGCATTCTTTCTCGTAGCTACTGCTACTGTTTCCAACGGCCAGCCGTCTTATTGTATCAGCAGGAGAAACTTATGGCGCTGGGATCAGTGCGCAGTGCCAGAGCAGCCGCAGCGGTATGCGGGCCCTTCGAGAGCTTACGTTTACCCCTCTCATCGCGCCCGCTCACTCTTCACCTTCCCCCATGTACTGCACGTCGCAAGCCTTGCAGCTCGACCGACAGCGCCTTGAAACTAATTCGTGAATTCAACGTGGCAGGTTAGCGTTTTGCAAGTCGCTCAGCCACTGTGGTGCAATATGTCCGTCAGTGTGCTGCTACGGTCGCTATAGTTCCGTCGATCGTTATAGACATGCAAAAGTAATCGCCCGTTTTCACCTCTCTGTCACCGCAGTCGCCAGGTTACCTTTTCGCGGAAAGCTTTTACGTGCCCTAAAACACATAACGTCGTGCAGTCCTGCAGGATTATTCGTCACCGCCGCCATGCAGCCCAACGAAATGCCGTTTACTTCATCGAGCGCATATGCAGGCTGGAACGCGCACGCTCACATTCAATCATTGTTCGCCTCGACATGTATTTTCCCAACTGCACTATTCGCCTGACATGAGCTAGAATCCCTTTGTCGTCAAGCGCAACTTGGCTTCGATACAACAGTGTTATCCCAGAGCGCAATCCGATTGAGTTGTGGAACCATCGCGTAATGTTGGTTCTGGATAGCCATCTGCATTGCAGCTGTAACGTCAGCATTCGTGTTTTGCGAGCATAGACACGTCATTGCAGCCCTAGGCGTTGCTGCCCTGCTGCCGCGATGGTCACAGTGCTTCTCTCAGGTACAGGGTCTCGCGTTATTCCCTCTTACAAGTAAAAGTACTCGTGCCGATGAAAATTCGACAGAGAGGTCTTTTGTGATTATGCTTCTGATGACCCAACCTGTTTTACCGCAGCGTTGCCTCTCAGTTGTGAATGTATTGTTTCGTTAAACCTGAGCTTACGTGTGTTTGATTGCGTGAATGCGTTCGATG